GGCTGTCACGGGCTGTCATCCCAGGGGGCTGCACTCCGCTAGTGCAGCCTCTGGATGTGTCAATCAACCGCGCGTTCAAGTGCGGTGTGCGTCATCGCTACAGTGGCTGGTTCGAAGAAGAGGGCATCAACACCACCACCAAGTCCGGTGAGTTGAACCATGACATCCGCATGTGTAACTTTGAATCAATGTCGGCTTACGCTCTGGAAATTAACATTTGTCCTTCTCTACCCTTCCCCGTCCCTCAGGCAATCTCAAGAAGCCGCCAGCGGAGTTGGTGCTCCGCTGGATCGATGAGTCCTGGGAAGCAATCCCACAGGAGCTCGTGAAGAAGGCGTTCGTCACGTGTGGGATCTCCACCCCCATCGATGGCAGCGAGGACCACCTCATCCTTGCCCACATGCGGGACAAGGGTGAGGTGGAAGTCCTTGACGACGTCAACGACCTGGTTGACGACGAGCTCGTCGTCAACCCCTTCTACGTCGAAGTCCCCATGCCGGCCGAGCAGCTGCAAGCGGAGGCAGAGGAGGCTGACGCCGCTGATGAGGATGCGGAAGCGGCGGCGGCAGAGGAGGAGGGGGGCATGCTTGAGGGAGGCGGGGAGGCAGAAGAGCCCAGCGATGATGAATGGTGGCGCCCTGGCCGCTTTGACGGGGAAGACTGTGAAGAATGGCATGCAGGAGACGATTCTGAGTAGAAGGCACTTTGTATAGAGTTTTTTTAGGTGAAATTGTGGATGTGAGGTGCTCTTGTGGTGATGTTTCTGGAGTCTAGGTGACATTGTCGATGACTACTGGCACATTACTTCTGTAGTACCTGTAAAGTACCCTGTATGCAATGTAAGCAAATTCAGTATTTTTGCCGCCCATAACACCCCCCCGGGTCTTATAGAGAATCAGGCAAAAAGGGGGGTATAGTAGAAACGAGGCTCCCCATAACACCCACCCCACACAAGCTACCCGGGGGTGTACAATTATGGGGGGGTGTTTTGTCCGGGAGTATACGGTATGCCAGGATCGATGTGAGGCCACGATCCTTGTAGAATGAAAACAGGTGCCGCGTCCTCAGCCATCCATCAGCAGCAGCTGAGTGAGTGTGTCTGCTTTTCACCTAGGCTCGTGTGGGTGTGCACGCGTGGATGGGAACAATCATTCATTTGTGCCCTTAGCATGGACTATGTACAGTTGTGTTAAATTCGTATGTGTGGTGCTTGTTCTTGCTGTGATCAATGAATACGGTACCCCATACAAACTTTCCACATTCTTCCCCCCAGAATTCCTCCATATACCGTAAGAATACCATACCAGTCAACAAGGTCTACAACAGTTCCATTACATAACACAGTTCAACACGCTATGTAGAACACAAATATACTTCCCAGTCATCCACTACACTAGCCCTTAGACGCAATAAGCTGAGTTGACTGACCATATGCCTGAGCTCATGACCTATATTGGTCGAGTGGACTTGCTCCTTTCCCTGCAACCAGATTCAGTGAAATGAAAGAGTGACAAGGAGATGCTTATGCATATACATCAACCCATAGTCTTAACCTTCACATACCTCCCAACCCAACCCCAGCCGTCCCATCTGGCTCAATTCATCCACCCTGTAACACTCTACCCTGTCCCAGATTATTACATCCCACCCAATCCAGCCCCATTCCAGTCCATATTATATTAACCCTCATATCCCATCCCACGCCACGCCACCCACCCTCAACGTGTCAACATCATCCGGTTCCAACGTGTCAACATCATCCAGTTCCAACGTGTCAACCTCATCTGGTTCCAACGTATCTCCTCCTCGCAGTTCTCACTGGCCCCGTCTTTCCCCAGCCCCACTGCTCCCACCTGCCCCTTTTCCATCGCCGCTCTCAGCTCCCCCATTTTTCCCAGCTGCTCCCAACTGCCCCTCCCACCGTCCGCTGCTCACAGGTCCCCCTTCTCTACTGTTGTTCTCAGCTCTACGCTGCTCTCAGCTTTCGCTACTTCTCCCCCCTTCTTGCCCTTCTCTCCCCACCATCTCACCCTTCACTTTCCACTGCTCTAGGCTCTGTCTCCCATCCAATCCTTCCAGCACCCACAGCAGCTGTGCCACATGACTCGCTCTGCCATGCAATCATGCTCCTCTTCGATTTTGACTCGGCTCGAAAAAAAGTCAAATTAAGTCGGATTCCTTCCTTTAAGTGACTCATCTCGGATCGAGCCTCGGTCCAGATGGCGATGCAGCGACCGCTCGGTGTGTCATGGGTCCAGTCGCACCTGACTCTGCTCGCGTCTGATGACTCGCACAGAAATTAATGGGACTTCGCATCAATCCCACCTGTGCCATGCTCACCTTGCACGGGCAGCAGCAGCTGGCCTGAAAGCGCCCACTACTGCCTCAACACCTTTCCCCTTCAGCTGCCTTTGAGAATCCAGCGCACTCCTTCCCAGCCCAATCAAGTCCCTTCCCCCATTCCCCCACTTCGCCCTTCCTCCTCCCCCTTTCTTATTCCACCAAGTCAACCAGCCTCTCCCGCACCATTCTCACCCAATTCACCCCATGGCTCGCGCCTTTTCCCCCTGCCCCGGGCCTCCCATCCGCATCACAAGGAGTGCAGCTGGGTGTTCCCATTCCGCTTCCCACCCCCTGCTCTCCTTTGGTTTTCCCAACCCTCCCAGCACTCTCAGCTCCCCTTCTCCCGCCACTGCTCCTTCCCCATTCCCTCTGCCCGCTGCAACTGTACTGTTTGCCGCATCCACTCCCCCGCCCTGCTGTGCTCCGACTTGGTGGGATGGCGGAAGGACGAGAAAGGGGAGAGATAGGAAGGGGGAGACACGGTGGGGTGAGGGGGAGACAGGCAGGGGGGAGAGAGGGAAGGGGGGGAGGGAGGGATTGGCAGAAGAGATTTGCGAAGGGATACAAAGAGAGGAGGGAGCGGGCGAGGGACTCCCACGGCGAAGGAAAGGAGGGAGCAAGAGAGTGGGGCGCAGAAAGCTTGGGTGAAGGAAGGGAGGCAGTGGGTGGGGGAAGGCGGGCGGAGCGGAGGTACACGGCCACTAATGCAGCCATGCTAAATTCACTTTTGAGAATTCTCAAAGGCGGGCGGAGGCCACTGATGCATGGCCACTGATGCATGGCCACTGATGCATGGCCACTGATGCATGGCCACCGATGCATGGCCACTGATGCATGGCCACTGATGCATGGCCACTGATGCATGGCCACTGATGCATGGCCACTGATGCATGGCCACTGATGCATGGCCACTGATGCATGGCCACTGATGCATGGCCACTGATGAATGGCCACTGACTGCTCACCCGTGACGGAATCCAATCGCTGTCTCATCCTCACAGCCCGTTATCATCCCCCCACATGTCGCTCTTCCCCCCCACGCGACGCTCATCACCCCATGCGACGCTCATCCCCCCATACGACGCTCATCCCCCCATGCGACGCTCATCCCCCCATGCGACGCTCATCCCCCCGTGCGACGCTCATCCCCCCGTGCGACGCTCATCCCCCCATGCGACGCTCATCCCCCCACGCGACGCTCATCCCCCCACGTGTCGCTCATACCCCACGTGTCGCTCATCCCCCCACGTGTCGCTCACAACGTGTTGTCCCTAACCTTGCGAGCACTCATCCACCCACACACACCGGAATCGCGCCGGAGTCGAGATTGACTGCATTTCGCGGACTTTGGTCGTCACCCATGCGACACGAATTGTCCACATTTGGCACATGCGACTCGGCAAAAGCGAGCCTGCTGCGGCCAGGGTCGTCATGTGGTTGTGAAGAATGCAAGGATCGTCAGGCCATGCCCTGATTCGACTCATGCGACTCGGCACGTCCGAGGCGAGGCTGTTGCGGGCGGCGAAGCTCGCGAGGGTGGAAAGAACGCCAGAACGGCCGTCATTATTGCGGTTCTTCGTAGCGCAATGCGTATTTCAGGCCCAGGTACGGACATGTATGCAATAACGCCGAGCGAGCGTGAGCCGACGCCGTGAAACGCGGAGTTGCGAACAGTGACGCCCTCAGTAGTAAGGCGCGCCGTCGGATCGGACCAGCAAGCTGCCACAGTGTGACTGTTACATGTGAACGGCGGGTTGCACTGGTAGGGTTGCCACGCAGCGATGGAGAACAACATTCACAAGAGGTGACTAACGCGGATATTGAGATGGTTGACGGGAGTTTGAGGTTACAAAATACAGTTCTAGAAAAAAAACAGACATAAAAAAACACCTACTCTACAAACTGGCATGTGAGCTTCACTTTGGCAACTCGGTGGAGTCAATCAAGGCAGAATGATTTCTGCTCAACTATGCGCAGTCTCAGTATGATGGGATGAAGCTTGGAGACATCCCATGAGGAAGAAGGGCTGTATGCACCATTCTCATGGTTAAGCATAGCCCCATCAGGGCTCTTGCTAACTATTTGGGGCGTCTGATGAAAAAGTATTCCTTTTTTTTTAGTCTGACCATCATATGAGGGATCCTGGGTGGTCTGATTTTCATATGAAATATTTAAGGCCGTCTGTAAGTAGGAATGAAAAATATTAACAAGTACATGTATTCATATGGACAGCGTAGTTGGTTTGATTCGAACGCGGAGTCCAGCGGATGTGGGATCGACTTTTGCGAGAGGATTGTCGAGCTTCTTTGTTTTCCCTTGGGTTATCAGACAGAAATATCCTCGCTGTCTGGAAACTCGTACGAAATATAACCTGTGTTATGAAAAAAAACATATGAGTATAAACGCCTTATCTGGGCTATCATATGAGCCGCGTTCTTTTGTCTGCGAGAACATATGAACAACAAAAAATGCGACTGAAATCTAGACCAACAGACTAAATTAGTCTGATAACGAGAGCCCTGAGCCCCATCCCCGTTAGTACCAATTCAGTTGTTCCTTAAACAGGTTAGTCAAGTGTAGTCACACACACCCAAGCTGGGCCCATAACCAGCTGTGGCATTCAAAGCATGCCATCAGCTCCTAGAGTAACGGCCATGTCAGGCCACGGAGGCAGCATGGCAGGGCGTGTCAAACAGAGAGCCGGTAGAGCACCGGATGGGAAGGGCTGCTGCAGCACGGCTGGGCGTGGCTGTATGGGAGCTTGCATGTGCGAGCCCCTTGGGTTCGAGGGCGTGTTCAGTGCACTGGTGGCGGTAGGGACCAGTGGAAGTTGACAAGGCACTCTCAGCCAAGGCGTTGGTGGCAGTGGCAGTGCGAGTAGCTTTGGAGTCAGCCGCGGCAGTGGCCGTGGCAGCGGCTGTAATTGTGGCTGTGGCAGCGGCTGTGATTGTGGAAGTGGGTGGTGCAGTGGCAGCGAGGGCATGTACTCCAGCTCTACACACCCACACGCCTTCCACTGTGCAAGCGTCGCCTCCTGGGTGAGCCCCTGCTGCTGCCTGTGCCAGTCAGCACCTGCCTCCCCGGCCCCTCCTTGCTCTGCCGCCCATTCTGCCACGAGTGACCCAGCAGCCCGACTGGGTGGCCCAGCAGCACCGAGGGGTGGCCCAGCAGCACCGGGGGGTGCAGGCCTCTGAGCCTGAGGCCCACTGGCCAAGGGCACAGCGAGGGCACTCCCAGCCAGCAGCAGGTGGGCCATGGGCGTGTCGAGAAAGAGAGCATCCTTGTCCCTGTCACTCTGGTTGTCGTTGCCACTGTTGCTGTTGTCGTTGTTGTCGGTGCCGTTGCTTTTGTTGTCGGTGGAGCTTCCGTTGTCGAGCACGATAATGCATGCATCCACGTATTCCTGCTCCTCTGTGCCACACCCACACGTACTCCCAGCAAGTACCTCTGCAATGCAGCTGCTTGTGCTGCCGGGAGCAGAGCCGGGCAGAGCAGTGAGTGGGGAGGCCATTGCTGTTGGCAGCGGTGCAAGTGGCTGGGTGGGCGGAGGAGCAGAGAGAGCAGCACGTTGCGCGGAGGTACGGTCTCCCAGCAGCACGTCGTGTGGAAGGTCACGGGCACTCTCCGACGCAACATGCGGCCAGTCCACCCGCTGCACCGCGAAATCAGCACAGGGGGTGGAATTACCAATGCAGAAAGCAGAGCTAGGCGGAGCAGCGAGTTGGGGGGGCAATGGCGATGGCAGAGGTTTGGGCGGCTGGGTAGGCGGAGGAACAGAGAGAGCGGCGCGTTGCATGAAGGCAGGGTCCTCACAGCTGAATCCCAGCAGCACGTCGTCTGGAAGGGCACTCTCCGACCCAACGCGCGGCCACAGCACCCACTGCGCCCTGCTCCTCGCTCCTCCCTGGTGCAGCTGGCGACGCTCCTCCTGCAGCAGAGCCTCCAGAAGGGCTTCGTCCGCTGCCTGCTGCATGCTGCTGCTCGCCCCCTGCTGCTCAAACTGCTCCGCCACTGCTGACTGATGCCGGCGCTCCGTGCTACTCACCATCCCACCTTGCACCAACCCGTCTCGCACCAACCCGCTTCGCACCAACCGGCTGTCACAACCACCCGGCAGACGTTGGTCGCCCCCCCTCCCAACGCAGTCGTCCCTTGGCCGCTTCACTGCACGGCGCAGAGCAGCGGCACTGGAGGCAGCCGCAACGGGGAGGGCATCACGGGAGAATGGAAACTCGGTGGTAGAAGCAGCAGCAGTAGAGAGGGCGGCGGTTTCGGAAGCAGGAAAAGGAGTCTGGGAAGCAGGAGGAGGGGTGGCGAGGGATGAGAGGTTGGGCGGGGTTGCTGGGAGGCAGCAGCGAGCATTGGGGGCGAGGAACGCCATCACGCACTCCTCGTACCACCGGCCCCCGAATGTCAGTGCCGCTGCTCCCACGCCCTCCGAGCGCTGCTACTGCTGCTGCTGCTTGAAATCCTGGCAGAGCAGTGGCTGACTGTGGCCGTCCAATGGAATAAGGGGCCGGGAAAATGCAGCAGCTCCCAGGTGCTTTCGCAGGAAGTTCTGGTGAAAGCGGTCTGTCAACTTCCTGCCACCACCGCACGGCCGCAAGAGAGAGAGAGAGAGAGAGAGAGAGAGAGAGAGAGAGAGAGAGAGAGAGAGAGAGAGAGAGAGAGAGAGAGAGAGAGAGAGAGAGAGAGAGAGAGAGAGAGAAAATTAGCTGAAAATTTGGGTGTTGTTCGAGAGAGCGAGAGAGAGAGAGGATTAGCCTCTCCCCTTCTACCCTCTGCCCTCTGCTTTCTGCCCTCTGCCATGACTACTTAAGGCCACGGCGGCCTCTCCATCTCTCATTCTTTCAGTTAGTGCTGAAAATTTGGGCGCTTCGCACCGGCGGCCGCGCGTTAGGGATGGCAAGGGGAAACAACAAGTAGTAGTAGCTTAGGCAACCGATACAAACAAGGCAAGCATAGACACTTAGCAAGTAGAGGATGGAACGGGTCTATACGCGCAAGGGGGGAGCGCCTACATGCGGTCCGCCTCTACCGCAGCGAGCATTCCGCTCGTGTTCAACCACAACTAGCGGACCACAGACACAGTGGCGCCTACAACGTCAACAGGAGTACCAGGGCCTACTACAAGCGTCCTCAGAGCAAGGGCCGAGTCAGCCAGCTGGCTGGCCGAGGTTGCTCTCGGCGAGGGCGCTACCTGCAGTGGCATTACGAGCGCGAATAGCGCTGACGCCGCCGCATGACAATCTGCTCGCGGTTTCTGAGAGAACCTGCTCGGAGGGCTCACCGGCATGGAGTCAAATGACTCCTGGAGAATCCGCTCAAGGCTCTGCAGGGACGCCGCTAGCGACCATAGGCGGGCCAGGGTCACCGTGGGAACTTCCTTCATCGGCGGAAGCAACGCATACGCGCGGGCACGATGAGACGACACGGCGAGATCACGCGGAGCAGGAAGAGGACGCGGCGGAGCAAACTGAGCCCACGGCGGCCCGCCACCAGCACCTACGAAGCCCGTCCCCGCAGGCAGCGGCTGCTCCGAACGCGCCAGGGATCCAAAGGGATTGTGGGGCAGGAGCGCGGAGAGAGGGACAACGGGAGGAGCGCGAGGAGCTGATGGTGACGTCGACCCAGCACGCGAGCGACGAAGCTCCTTCTCCACGTCATCAAGCCTATCCAGAAGACGGCGCTCCATTGCGGACGGCGCTGGACCCGCTATTCCGCCACGACTGTCACCTCCCCGTCGCCCACGACGCGCACGCCCACTTGCGCTCGAGCGCATAGGCGACTGCGGGCGAGATGGGCCGTGCTGACGCTGGCGGCCAGGAAAACGGTCCCCGCGACGAGGGGAGTAGAGCCGTTGGCGCTTTGCAGGAGGGGGCAAACGCGGAGCTGGGGGCCGACGCCCAAACGTCTGGCGGGCAGGCGACCGCTGGCGAGATGAACGAGGAGGGGGCGAACGATGACGATGTGAACGGCGGCCACGGGATCGGCTTCGCGACGCCACGCGACGAGGCAAACGAGGAGACAGCGGCAAACAGGCCGCACCGTGACGATCATCGCGGCGGCTCTCCCGCTCATCGTCGCGAGCTGCCAATGAGCGACGGCGAGGCGAACGCTCCAGGTGCGCCACAGCCTCTGCGCCGGAGCGCAAGACGGCCCCCGAGCGCAGGGGCTCCGGCGGTGACAAGGACCTGCCCGCGTGCCGAGCCAGCTCGCGCTGCTGGTCCTCGAAGCGGCGGCGGATCTGATCAGCGGACGCCGGTGGAGCAACAGGTACGCTCGCGGCAGGGCGTGTAGGAGGAAGCGGACGGGGAGCGGGATCACTCTCCGCGGTGCAGTCGCGGCCCAGAGCGCCGAGGAAATCCATCAGCGAGCGCTCAGGGCGCTCCACTGCCACAAGAGGAGCCGACGACGCCGATCTCCTAGGCGCAACAGGCGGCACCTGTGGCAGCCACTCCGAGGAGCGGACGGGGAAGCACGCGGGGGAGAGGCGGGGGTCGAGGAGCGCGCAGAGGACAGCGGAGTGCAGGCCAAGCGGTGAGGGGGAATCCGCTCCAACTACCGAGCCCAATCTGGTTGGGGGAGCCGGCGGAACGAGTCACGCGCCAGTCGTTTGCTAGACGCGGGGGAGAGGGGGAACGACAGCGCAAGCAATGAGAATCGGTGATACAAACGCAGAAGGGAGCGGCGACGAATATGTACCGTCAGATCTGAGGCAACCCGACAACCTCGACTCACCTCTCGCGGAAGCGGGGGAGGACCAGGCGCAGCAGCAGGAGAGGGATTCTAGACGTCGACAGAACCGCAGACCCCAACCCCCTCCGGACCAAGCCCTGTCAGCGTCCCAGCTGGCATCGAGGGAGGATCTCTTTGATATCGCGACGAGCTGGGACTCTTCAACCCTAACGTCAACCACCCACCTGCCTATCGTCCGCCGCCTGCCGCCGCAGATACTAAGCGACTACTCCACCTGTATGCTGGCCGCCCTCTTACGGATCTCCAAACTGCCCAACAGTGCGGGAGCGTGGCGGGTCCTCATGTTCCTGCCACGTCTCACCTTACGACTTAGCAGGAGGTCCAGCTCTAAGTGGAAGGTGCTGCGAGAGCAGATGCACCTATTCAGATGTGGCCACTGGAACCAGCTCTACAGTGACTACGTGGGGTCCCTGCACCAAGCTAAGCCACCTCAGCACCAAAACGACCCCCTGGGAATCTGCTCACGTGTGGAGGGGCTGGTGAAACGAGGTAACCTGCGAAAAGCGTTGGCAGCCCTTTCACCCTCGCCAGCGGCCCCTGCGACAATCGCAACATTGCAGCAGTTGGAATTGAAACATCCCCAACCCCAAGTTGAGCTGCCCGGCTGGGTCCACACCTACACAACACCCACGCAATTTTCGTGCACCGCGGAAAGTTTCTCAGACGTCCTTGGGGATTGCCCCAACGGAGTTGGGGCTGGTCCATCCGGGTCAACATTTGAACACTACCGCGACCCAGCCCTAAGCAACATCGAAGTGCTGGGGCACCTACACTCCGCCGTAACACATCTTCTCTCCACGAATCTTTCCACCGAGGTTGCAGCACTACTCTCGCCATCCCGCCTCATCGCCTTTGCGAAACCAGGGGGGGGGGGGTACGCCCTATCGCAATAGGGGAATCCCTACTCCGGTTGGCAGCAAAGGTGGCACTCTCGGAAATGCAAGGAGAAACAAGGCGATTTTTCTTACCCCAACAATTCGGTGTGGCAGTCCCAGGCGGAGCTGAGTTCGTTATACATGCAGTCAGAGACCTCACCACTTCACAACCTTCCAGCCTAGTCCTCCAACTCGACATTGAAAACGCTTTCAACTCCGTAGAGAGGAAAGCGTTCTTCAACGCACTCGCCAACACCCCGCTAGCACCGCTCATACCTTTCACCCGCTCCTTCTACGCAACGCCTTCTCAGCTGCTGACCGATCCCCGCTTGAGCACGACGGCACTTACCAGCGGAAGGGGGGTGAGGCAGGGGGACCCCCTCGAACCCCTGCTGTTCGCGGCATCAATCCAGCAGCACCTCAGACGCACAGCAGCAGAGCACCCAGAAGTCACGATCTGTGAGGATCTAGGATCGAGTTCTGCTTGCTGCTCTTCATCCGCTGGCACGTGTCGCAAGAGGTGACGAACTGCTGCACGTCTGCTGCCATCCCGGGCCAGTAGTAATACTTCGCTATCCCTGCTAACGTCTTGTTGCTCCCGAAATGTCCCGCGTAAGGTACGTCGTGAAACTCCTCCAATAGGATCTGCCGTAGCGGGGCGTAATTCGGTACCCAAATCTTTCCTGAACCCTTCCTTACAGCTAAGTCTTTCTCCCACTGTAATAGCTTCTTGGTCTGTGCTGTAGCAATCTCTGCGTCCACGGAGTACCCATGCTGGAATAGACCCTTGAGCAGAGGGTTCATCCCGTCGAGCTGGATGCCTACTACATGTCCAGGGCGGCTCAACGCGTCTGCCTTGTTGTGTAGCCCGGGCTTGTAGACGATGTCGTAGTGGAAGTGAGTTTCTAGGAAGTCCACCCACCGCACCTGTCGTCGTGAGAGTGTCGGCTGTGACTTCAGGTATTTGAGACTGCAGTGGTCAGTATAGAGTGTAGTCTTGGCTCCCTCTAGGTAACACCTCCACGCCTTGAAGGCTATGACTATCGCTAAGGCTTCCTTGTCGTGAATGGGGTAGTTTAGTTCTGCTCCGTGTAGCTTCTTACTGAGGTAGGCGATGGGCTGCAAACCGCGTCCGTGATCCTGCATCAGTACTGCTCCGACTGCTTGGTCACTAGCGTCTGCTTCCACCACGTAGTCCTTGTCTGGATCCGGCAAGATGAGTACTGGCGCTGTAGTCAGTGCTGTCTGTAGCTGCTCCATGGCTTGCTGATGAAGGGTATCCCATTTTGTAGGGCGTATCCATTTTTAGTAGGTCGGTCAGTGGCGCTGCTATCTTAGCGTACTGCGGCACGAACCTGTTGTAGTAGTTGGCGAAGCCTAGGAACTACTGTAACTCCTTCACGTTCTCTGGTACTTTCCACTTCTTGACGGCTTCGATCTTCCGTGGGTCCACGTGTACGCCCTCGGCACTCACCATGTGCCCGAGAAACTGCATCTTCTTCAGGGCGAAGTCGCTCTTTGACAGCTTCACGCAGAACTTGTTTTTCCGCAGGATCTCGAACACCTTCCGCAGATGCTCCACGTGCTCCTTCATGTTCTTGGAGTAGATGAGAATGTTGTCCAGGTACACCACCACGCATTCGTCCAGCAGGGGTCGTAAGATGTGATTCATCTCCGCCTGAAACGTTGCTGGTGCGTTGCAGAGTCCGAACGGCATCACCAAGTATTCGTAGGAGCCGTATCTGGTACGGAACGCTGTCTTGTGGACGGAGTTGTCTGCCATCTTGATCTGCCAGTAGCCCGATCGTAGATCCAGCTTCGAAAATACTGTTGCTCCACGTAGTTGATCGAGTAGGTCGTCTATGCGCGGTATGGGATATTTGTTTTGACTGTCTGTTTGTTCAGTGCGCGGTAGTCGATGCACATCCGTAGACTGCCGTCTGGTTTTGGAGTGAAGAGAACTGGTGTGCCATAGGGAGAGGTGGATGGGCGGATCAGTTGTCTGTCCAGTAGATACTCTATCTGTTTTTTCATGTCTGTCAGTTCAGTCGGACTCAGTCGGTATGGTGCACGTGAGACGGGTTTCGCACCTGGTTCCTCCACGATCTCGTGCTCGTGGGTGCGTGCTGGAGGTACGCCCGCAGGTAGGTCGTCGGGCATTATATCCTTGTACTGCTCCAAGACCTCTTTCACTGCTGCAGGTAGCTCGGAACTCGGCTTCTCCTCCTCTACTGCTGCCATAACCAGTGCTAGGTAACCCGTGTTACTCTTGTCCACCGTCTGTTCGAACCGTGCCAGTGTCGTTTCAGGTATGTCCCCTGTATCCGTCCAGCTTCGCAGCTCCACTCGTTTCCCGTTGTTGTAGATGCACACCTTGCTGTTGACCCAATCGATCTCGGGGTTGAACTGCTTCAGGAAATCTCGCCCCAAGATAAAATCTAATCCTTTGATGTTGGTGACTGGTAGCTTCGGCTTCCACCTCAACGCACCTATATGCAGTTGCAATGATGCTTCGCCGTGGATAGGAAGCTTCGTACCGTCCACCATGGTTGCTGAAAACTGGGTCTCTTCCGCCTTCTCTCCAATTTTCTCCAATGCTCCGCGGTCACACACCGAGTGAGATGCACCGCTGTCCACCAGTGCCTGGAGGCGTCGCCCATTGCATAACACCTCGAGGAGGAGTGGTTTGTGCTGTGCTGAGTAGCCAAAGAGGGTCTTGTTAATAGGATCATAGGGTACATCAAACTTAATACCTTCCCTTTTTCCTATACCTGACTCAGCGCTTTCCAACTTCACCTGGGGGGTAGGAGGATTTTTCCGAGGCTTGTATAATTTTTCCTGAGCCTGGATGTCTCCTATAAGCCTTGGCAGCTGTGTAGGCTTCACCTGTGGGCGACGGGGAGCCTTAACACTGTGCTGCGGGGAGAGAATATTAATTCCACGGAACGCACGACCCTTCTCTACGCTCCGTAGTATTTTGCCCAACTTCTCAGGTACCTGAATAATTTCTAAAGGCTTTTTCTTGGCCTCTAGACCTCCCCTAAATTCTTTGAAGGCTTGTAAACCACGAGAAGCAATATTCTTTGTTACAGCATCTTCATAGGATACTTTTAACGAATTCTTACTTTCGTGGGTGTTCGGCAGGAGTTTCCCGGTCGGTGCAGAGTCTTTTTGTGAAAATAGTAGAACAGGAATGAATGACTAACTGATCGTTTGGTACAAATACAAACCCTAGAGAGCTGTACCTTATATGTGCTACCCCACTATAGCCTACAACAGCTATGTCATATATATCTGACACACCCCCATAGGCAAAGTGGGGGAGAACAAGGGGTCACAAGACCAGTCAAGCAAAGTAAAACAAAGCAAGCTCAGGGTGGATCACAAAGTCACCACACAGTCCGAGCACAAGAGCAGGGCCAGAGGCCAGTTCACATGCAGGAGTAC